CCTTCATCTCTTTGCACCCGCGGGGCTTGCCGCCACTCGCGTCTGCGGGGTGATCCAAGATGCGGCGCGCGAAGCGCGCGCGGGGTTCCCCCATGCAGCGCGGCGCCCCATGTCCAGATCAGGCCCTTTTGGGGCGCGCCGCCTTGTTCGACCTCGCGCAGGAACGGCTCGTCGACAACGAGGGCGCGATTGACGATCGTCTCCTTGACTTATTTCGCGAACTTATTGGGCGCATTCCGCGCGCGATTCTTCTTCTTCTTCTTCTGCGCGACCTTCATGGCGGGGGCTTTCTTTGGCGCGGGTCGAACAGCGGGCCGCTTGCGCGCGCCGCCCCCGGGCGCCCGCAGCTCCCTGATCGAGTTCGGGCAAACGAGATCGCGCCAGTCGCTCGTGCGCCCCCTGAGGGTGGATCGCCGCGCGCCCATCGCCTTGCGCCCGACGCGGGGCAAATCAAAAATTGTGGTTTTGTGGATGTAGTCGGCGAGCCACATGACCCAGCAGTTCAGTTTGTCCATCCAGTGCCCCGCGCGCGCGCCATCGAATAATGTAAAAAAAGCGGCGCTCGGCTGACTTTTTTGGGGGCCCTCCGCGGTCGATTCTGCCCGCGCCCTTGCGCGTCCTCGGCGGCGGCGGAGGCGAGGGCCAGGGCGGCCGCGCGGATGGAAACTCGCCGCCGGCGCGGGGAGTCGGAGGCGAGGGCCAGGGGCCGCGAGGGGCGATCGAGCCGCGGCGGTTACCGCGGGCAAGCAACGGCCACCGCCCAACAACCAAGCACTGCACCAACACACGCTGATTCACCGACGTCACAACCATACGCAACACGCACCGAATGCCCACAGCACTTTGGCGAAAAACTGCGGCAGTGAAAATGCGCCCACGTGCCTGTTTTCACTGGTCGGCAACGCATGGGAAAAAGGACATGTTGACGAGATGTGCTCATGCGTGGCTGGCAACTCACCTGGGGCCAAAAAAGAAAGACGCGCGCCCCCGCTGCGGCGCGCGCCCCATCACTGCCCGAATGTACAGCGGCAGCGCAGTCAGCGCCTCAGAAATCACGCCACTCGCGGCCCCCCCTTCGGCGTTCAGTCCATGCCGCCGTCGACGCCCATTGCCGCCGCCGCCTCTTCGTCCTCGGAGCCCGAGTCGGGCGCCGCAGCCTGCGCGGGGTCGGCTGCCTCTGCCTCGAGGAGCTGCTCAATGGCCTGCTTCAGCTGCGTGCTCTGGTATGACTCCGCAACCTTGGCGGGCGATGGAGGGGCCGGGTCGAGGCTGGCGCCGCTGGGCCCCAGCAGGCGCCTGAACTTGCGGGCGTCGGGCGACAAGTGCTCCCGCTCGACGCCGACGAGGGGGCCGACTGCGCGGCGTGCGCGCGCCTCGCCTGCGCCGCCTGCGCGGCAGAGTCGATGGGCGCCCTTTCCAACTGCAAGAGGCGCTGCCAGTCGTCAGGAAAGATTATGTCGCCTTTCTTGGGCGCCCCGCACAGACGCCCCCCCTCTTCTGCGAGGTGCTCGCCCACGCCCGCGACGTTCTTCCGCTGCGCGTCGGCTTCCTGCGCCCTCGCAGCCTGCCAGTAGATGAACTTTTTAGCGTTGACGATGAAGGCCGCTCTCTCGACGACGGCCATGGCGCACGCGGGCGCCATCTTCGCGTGGAACGTAGGGCGAAGCAAGTTCAAGAACCCGCTGAAGTTGACGCGAGGCCAGACGTCGTCCTTGATCGCGCCATGATCGCACGTCTGGTCAGCAGCGGCGCGGAGCTCTCCCTTGACCCACTCCGCGGCCCCCCGCGTCGCTCAGCGCGCGCCCTCAAATTGTCCCACACCCAAAAGCGCTTTCACCATCTTGGCTGGTAACTGGCTCAAGCAGCCGTCGTCCGCGAAAGCGCCCATGGCGAGGGCGCCTGGTTCGCCGCGCAGGAAATCGATCTCCGGCGCCGCCCTGACGCGCGCCTTATCCTAGTCGATCCCGCGCAACCTGGCGCCGCGGTCGCGCGCGGCTAACCCGTGCGCCTCCCCCGCGGGGGTCTTCCCGCAATCTGGCTCGCCCACGAGGCAGAGCGACGCGAGCGGGTCGATACGCTCCTTGGGGATGTTCAAGAACTAAGGCTCGACGTGCTTCTCGACGAGGAACAGGTTGCGCTGTCACTCCTTCTTTGCAAGGGCCCCCTCGGCCAGCGCGTCGCGCGCAGCTTCGTCCCCCGGCAGCCGCGCAGCGGCGCCCCCCGCCTGAGCGCCCTGGCCCCCAGCGCCAGCTGGGCGCATGCGAATCCAGCGTCGACGCTCTCGCCGCTCATCTCGTGAAAGACGCCCACTTTGCACTTCTACTTGACTTCTGGGGACGAGTGGAACTGACGAAAATGGTCGCACCCCCCGCGTGCTCGAAAGTGCACTGCCGCTCGCGCAGGCCGACCTCGGGGCGCTGAAAGACCAGCTTCTGCGCTTCGCAGACTGCGAGCTGCGAGAAGACTTGGAAACGCATCTCCATCTCTGGAATTATGTAACTTTGGTTCGTCTCCGCGTGAGCCACCCTCTGAAGCGGGTTCATCAGATCTTCGCAGCGCGCAAGGTTGGCGTCTGACTTCGACTGGAACTCATTCAATCGATCCGACAAGCCTGACGAACGAAGGAGCACGTGAATTGTTCCAAAATCATTGATCTCCAAACCTGACTTCTGGCGCGCGTCGTCATGCGTCATTCTCCGAATCGACCGGTCTGGCAAGCTGAGGATGCCCCGATTGTGCATAGAAAACGCGGCGGGCGACTGGGCATGCAACTTTTGCTCCTGCATGCCTAGCTCTCGCTGCGTGCACGTGGCCAGATCGAGGTGGTTCGCCTTGACGCGACTGGCGATCTGGAGCGCTGCGCCGCGCGCGCGACTGGCCATCGCAGATCCACAGGCACTGCCTCCCACGGAGTCTGGCGCCACCAGATTTGAAAGAGCTGAACATACCTACGATGAAGATACTTCGGCGCGCCTGCCCCCCAGCCGGGCGGCGCGCCCATGGTGAAACTTCCCGCGGGCAGGCCCGGCTCTGAAGCACTGCCGCGACCATCATGGGCCATCGTAATGAAGGCCCCCCGAAGAAACAGAAGACGCGTGAAACTGCGATGCCATGAGAAGGTCTTTGCGCGGCGCGCGAATTCGGATGTCCTGGTCAACGGGCGCCAGCGCGTCGCACTGGCCAGGGAGACCCAGGAGAAACTCTCGACGGGGCGGGTCTCCGTGATGCCGCGCGCCCTGATGGCGGGGCTGGAGACGACGATGGCACGCCGATCGCTACCAAAGTTAGTTCCTCAGCCTTGACCCTGGGGCGCAGGATCAACGCGCAACCTTGCTCTCCCAAAATGACAACTGCGCAGCGCGCAGTCCTCAAAGAGGCGGCCGAGGCTTGCACGCATCTTCACAAAGAGGGGGGGCGGGAGTCGGAGGGGAAGGCGCAAAGAGGGGATGGCGACGCGGGGCGGGTCTCCGCCCCCTGGCACGCCGGCCAAACGCAAGAGGCTAGCCAAAAGGAGAACTCCGATCGCGGGCTAGTTCCTGGCGCGCTTCGAAACGCGAGACTGCAATTGCTTGCCCGACAGATCGGGGCCACTCGCTGGCCCTGCCAGGAGCATTAGCAGCCGCGAGTAGCCGCCCGCGAAGGCAGCCGCGAATAGCCGCCCAGGCTGACAGCCGCGAATAGCCGCCCAAGCATATCAAAGGGATCCTGCGCAGCGACGAGGAGCGCAGGCCCCAAACGCCCCCCAAAGGAGGTCCAGGAAACGAGGCGAATCCAGCCACCGCGACGAGGAAACGCCACCCGATGGCAGCGCGTAAATTTGGGGGCGAACCCAGCCCTGGCGGCAGGAGGCGACCAGGCCGCCAGCTCAGTCACTCCCGAGCCACGAGGCGCCGCTGCACATCGGCCCAGGAATCCTACCTGTGAGTCGCCGCCTCCTTCAGCTGCTTGCGCGAGAATGAGTCGAGGACCGACGCGTCCTGACTGTCCTTGAACTTGTCCTTATTCTTGCGTTTCTCGCCCTTGCCCCCGACGCCCTTGCCCTTGCCCTTAGGGGGGGGGGGGGGGGGGGCGCGTCGAGCTCCAGGTCTCCAACGCCTTCGCTGCCGACGACGGTCGCCGCGCCCGCCGCCTCGGCGCCCCCGAAGTCCTCGATGCGGCTTGCGACGCCGCTGCGATTGCCGTCGGCCCACCGGCGCATGAGCCCGTCGTCGTCGGTGTAGCGGCAGGCGCTGCCGTCCGCCCGCCAGCTCGAGAACTCTTCCTCTGCCGCCGCCTCCTTGGCGATCGGCTGGGATGCGAGCTCCGCCCCCTGGCGACGCTTGCCTCCCTTCCCCTTGTCCTCGACGCTCTGCTTGTCCTTGTTCGAGGGAGCAGACGTCGCCGAGCTCTCTGCCTCGGGGCCCTCGGGCCAGATCTGTCTCAGCTCCTCCTTTTGCCCCGTCTGCTTCAGCGTCGTCGCCCGCGGGGCCAGGCCCAAGCATTGCCCGCGCTCCTGGCGGAAGCCGAAGTTGGTGAAGTCGCGCGCCTCGCACTTCCACTTCGCCGCGCAGTCTGTTAGAGCCGCCAGCGATTGCCTGGTCGTCGCCATGGCACTCTGGCTGTCTGCTTGCTCTCCCCAGCCTTCGCGAGGATCTGGGGGCGCCCTGGGGGAGGCCTCCAAGGCGGCCACACCTTGGGCTTCGCCTGGAAACACTCTTCGGTCGCTGCGGGGCCCTTGGGCTGCGACCCCATGCCCTGACTCGCTGCGCCCACTCGCTTCGCGTCCACCCTGAATACCGACTTCGGCCTGGGCTCCGTGGGCGGCCAGGTGCCCGGCAGGTCCGCGTCGAGGGCAAAGCCCCCCTGCTCCTGCTCGGTCATCTTCAGGAAGTCCTGCCACGAAAGATCTGACGAGAGGGCCGCCCCTTCCAGCCCCTCCTGGTCCATCTTCATTTCGGCGACCTCCTCCTCCTGTGCCATCCGGAGGTTCTGGACGGGGTCCGAAGAGAGGGCCTGCGCATTCAGCCTCGCCAACTCACGAGCGTGCCCCCGCCGTGGCCCCGGCCCTGCTCGTGGCGCTGCTCGGGCATGCGTTTCGCCCTCGGCTCGACGGGGTGCGCCTTCGCCTCCGCGCCAACCGAAGCCTGCCCCTTCTCCGAGGCCGCGCCCCCAATGCAGGTGTCCGCCATGTCCTTGATCAAACGGGACGAGGCGGCCTTTTCCTGCGCAGGTCTTCTCGAAGCTCGCAATCGCCGAGCCAGCGCCCACGGGGAGCTCCGTGGAAACGCGCGGCACGACCGTTGGGCTGCCATCGCGCGCGCGCGCGGCGCCGAGGCCCGGGCAGGCTGCGCCCATTCGAATCGCGCTCATCTCAGACCCCCCGGGCGAAAGGGCGAGGAGGGGGAGGAGGAGGAGAAGGAGGAGGAGGAGGAGGACGAGGAGGAGGAGGAGGAGGAGGAGGAGGACGAGGAGGAGGAGGAGGAGGAGGAGGAGGAGGAGGAGGAGGAGGAGGGGAGGGAGGAGAAGGAGGAAAAGGACGGATGGGAGGAGGGGGGAAGGGAGGAGGGAGGAGGGGAGGGAGGAGGAGGAGGAGGAGGAGGAGGAGGAGGAGGAGGAGGAAGAGGAAGAGGAGGAGAAAAAGAAGAACGCACGGGAGGAGATGATAACATGAGAGCGAAGCGGAAGCGCGTCGGTCGGGCCGACGCGCTCCGCCCCCGCGCTCAGCGCGGGAAGGCCCGCAGCCTCGAAGGGCCACGAACAGCGCGCAGCGCCCCGACGAGCGGGCCACTGCCGCAAGCATACGGGGCCTCGTCGTCGAAAAGCGGCGCCCCGAGGAGCGGGCCACTGCCGCTGGCGCAACGCTCATCGCTGCACGCGGCGCCCAGCGAGCGGGCCACTGCCGCTGAAGCGCTGCCCAAAAACAGGCCGAGGCGCCCCGAGGAGCGGGCCGCTGCCTCGAAGGGTAGCCATGCCTCCAACACGCTGCGGCGCTCCGATGAGCGGGCCACTGCCGCAGGAAGATGGGGCCTCATCGTCGGAAAGCGGCGCCCCGAGGAGCGGGCCATTGCTGCTGGTGGCACCACTCATCGCTGCGCGCGGCGCCCCGAGGGGCGGGCCACTGCCGCTGAGACACTGCCCGAAAATAGGCCGAGGCGCCCCGAGGGGCGGGCCACTGCCCAGGAGGGTAGTCATACCACCATCACGCTGTGGCGCCCCGATGAGCGGGCAACTGCCACAGGAAGACGGTCTTAGGTGGCAGCATCGCGACGGCCACGGCCGCAGGCGGGGTTCCAGCACAGCATGCCGCCAGCGTCCCACGTGACGGCCCCGCCGCTCAAGTCTCCGCACCAGCCGCCGCCGCTAGCTCCCCTGCCGCGGCGCGGGCGGCCGCGAGCTGGGCCTCCAGCTCGCGGCGCTCGGCGGAGGCCAGGCTGAGTTCCTGCCTGACCCGCTCGGCGACGTCGACCTTATTCTTGCCCTTGCTCTTTGCCCGTGAGCCTGAAGAAAGGGTGCCACGCGCGGCCATGTGCTCCACAGCGCGCGCGTCGGCCTCCGTTTCATCGACGACGGAGTACAGCTGTCTGAGGGACACCCCGATGGCAGCCATGTCCACGCCGACCGTCGGGCCAAGCACAGGCGGCAAGACCACCGCGCCTGAACGGCACCGCTCTGGCGCAGCAGGGAGAGCGACGTGCGACGCGGCCGAAGCGCGGAGCTGCGCGAGCTCGGCGTCGATCTCAGCGACGTCATCTGATCCGTCTTGCGCGCCGCCACCTCCAGCATCGCCAGGACCGTCCGCCCGCCGCCTCCGCGAGGGCCACGCCGAGGCGGGTGGCGGCGGACCCACGGTGCCTCGCGACCGCCGCGAACGCGTCCAGGAGGCGTGCAGCGGCCCGCGCCTCCGGGGCCACTACTGCTCCCGGCGCCCGGCCGCGGACCGGTTGGGGCGGCGCCGGCGCCCGCCGTCGGCCTCCGCCCACATCGCGCGCACGGAGGCGAGGGGAGGGAGGGCGGCCCGCGGCGAGGGGGGGGGAGCAGAAGGGCTGCCGCGGCGCGGGCTCGGAACGAGCGGAGGCTCGACACGAGCTGGCGCTAGGACGCAGGGGGGGAGGAGAGGAAGGAGGAGGAGGGACCTGTCCAGAGCGCCGGCCGCGGCACCCCAAAGCATCGATGGAGCTCGTCCAGAGTGCCCCTCTCTCCCCTTATGGCCGCCCTGCCAGCCGGAGGCCCTCGGGCGTTGCGAAGTGGGGGGGCGATCGGGTCCTGAGGGACACGGGTCGGGAGGCCGAAAACGCAGCACACCCCAGGACCCGTTTCCCTCAGGACCCCCTCGTTTCACGGCGCAGGGGCTCGCCGACGCGCCGCCGGTCGGGCGTGGCCCGATGGGGGGCAGTAAATGGTGCGCGGGGAGGAGAAACGTGCACCTTTCGTGCCCCTGTAGGTTTAAAGCACAAGAGGTGCACCTTTCTCCCCCCTCATGTACCTCCCACCATTATGCAACGCCCGAGGCCAGCCTTCGAGAATACCGCTGGGCGCTCTCCGCCATGGGCCGATGGGGTACAGAGAATGTCTTCGGAGCGCCTCGGAGCTTAGCCGCCCCAGTACACAACACGCAACCCGCGGCGTGCTGACACGGAGCTGGGCACGTAGATGGGTAAAGTAGTCGCGGTACGGTCGCCAAATCGTGGGCCAACGCGTGGGTGAGACGTTGCGTGTCTAATGAAAACTGAACCACACAACCCTGCCATCACTTAGGAGGCGGATTTTTACTTCCGCAAGCTTCCGCCAGCCTTCCGACGGCTTCCGTCGGCGGAGGCGGCCTCGTTTTGTTCGGGAGCGGCAAAGAGGGGGGCGTCAAAGAGGGGGGGGCGCAAATCATGGCCGGCGGCATGTGCGCGGCCCCGCGGGGGGGCCAGGGACGTAATGAAATAAGAAGAGGCGCCATGAGATCTGGGGAGATATCATGGCCCGCGCCATGATATCCACACCCCCCTAGTCATCACCCCCCTCTTTTCCGCCCCCGATTTGTTCCCGGCGCCCTTCGACCCGGGAAGAAACCACAACTCCGTCGATCCTCGAAGGCGAAGCCCTGCCTTGAATGCCCCAGATGGCTGGGGCTGGGGTCGCAAGCACCGCCACCAACGACGACGACGACGACAACGACGACGACGAGGCCCTTTTTTGAATGCCTCACGTGTTGAACACGGTACGCATCAAGTTCCAACAGGTGCGCATCAGGGTATCTAAGCCTCGGAGCTCTCTGAAGGCTCCTGGGCCTTGGCGAACGTTTCGGCTTGGCACACGTGCGTGAGGCGTGTTGAACACGGCACGTATCGAGTTTCAACACGCGCGCACCAGGGCAGCTAGGCCTCGGAGCTGTCCGAGGGCCCCTGGGCCTCGGCAGGGTCCCCCGGGGCTGCTCGCCCCCCCCCCCCGTCACGGCCTCCGACTGGCCACCGAAGCCTATGCCTTGCTTGTACGCGAGGCCCAACACGTCCCGCGTCCGCGCCCGCCCTTCTCCACCCCCTCTCCCCCCCTCTTCTTCTACCACAACCACCGCCACCACCACCTCCTCCTCCTCCTCCTCCACCTCCTCCTCCTCCTCCTCCTCCTCCTCCTCCTCCTCCTCCTCCTCCTCCTCCTCCCCTTTTCCTTATAAACAATTCCTCCCTGTCGCACCCCGAAGCGTGTCGATAAGGCGGACGGGGCTTTCCGCCACCATGTATCCACCCGCTGATGAATTGCAACAATGTCGCTGATGGTGGGTGGGGTGGGCGGGCCGTTTTCAAAACGTGGTTTTCGCCTGAGCGGCGCGCGCATTCGTCGCAACAAGTTGTAACCGCTTCACGGAAGAAAGGCGGGCCGGTTTCCACATGTGGTTATCGTTCCAGCGCCGCGCACCTCCACCGTAAAGTTGAAAAGAACTCAGCGGATGGGGGGCGGGCGGTTTTCAAAATGTGGCTCTCGCCTGGGCGCCGACCACTTTCGTCTTACGCCGCCCACATTCGTCTTAAACAGGTGCAGGAGCTTCACGGGTGGGGGGCAGGACCTTTTCAAAATGTGGTCCTCGCCTTATCGCCGCGCGCATTCGTCCTAAAACGCTGACGTCCCAAACACTTTCGATGATCCTTATGGCTGGCGTCCCAGGAATGGTGTGTTGGCGCGATGTGAAACTGTCAGGGCGCAATCGTTTAAAAGGTTCGCGGTGTCAAAGTCCCCAACAAGTTGCACTGGTACGATTCAGGATCGCCAGGACGTAACAGGAACGTTGACTCGCGGCTGTGAAATTCCAGGAGTTGCGATCTGGCATGATTCGAGAGTTTTTAACGGTTGCCTTCCAGCGGGGCACCTCCCTCAGTGACAATGAACCCTTGTAGGGGCCGATGTAGAGGAAACTTGGAGGGGGGGGTTATTGCGACATCGTTGATTGGTCTTGGGTTGTGGTGTTCCTCCTCTTCCTCCACCACCATCCCCTTTCCTTAAACATAACTCCTCCTTGCTGTTGCACCCGTAGGCGTGTGGGTAGGGCGGGCCGGACGGTTCGCCTGAGATGTCCCACTATTCTTGATTGGTTGAACTACAATTTGCAATAGTTTCACCGATGGAGGGCTGCAGAGATTCAAAGTGTGCTTCGCCTCAGCGCAGCGTGCCTTTGTTTTAAAGTGTGCAAACGTTTCACGGATGGAAGGCAGGAGCTTTTCAAATGTGGCCCTCACCTGGGCGCCGCGCACATGTGTCTCAAAAATTTGCAGCAGCTTCGCGGATGCAGGCCTGTACCCCTTGAAAATGAGGCTCTCGCCTGAGCGTCGTGCACATTTGTCTGAAAAGTTGGCGACCATTTCGCCGATGGAGGGCAATCCTGTTTCAAAATGTGGCTCTCGCCTGAGTGTCGCGCACATTCTCCTTACGAGGCTTTACAACTGACAGCAGTTTCACTGATTATGCTGGATGACGTTTCGATTTGGCGCGACGTAGGATTAGATTGATTTGCGGTGTTAAAGTCCCAGAAGCAATGTGCTCGCACGATTCAGGATCGTCCTGATGCAATGGTGACGTTGGTTCGCGGCGTGGAGGTCCCAAGAATGGTGTTCTGACACGGTTCCGAATATTCAAGCGGCTGTCTTCCAGCGGGGCACTTTCTTCAGTGACAGTAAACCCTTGTACGGGCATGTGTACAAGTAGAGGGAACTTGGAGGGAGGTGTATTACAGCATCGTTGATGAGTCTTGGGTTTGCACTCCCCCACCCCTCCCCCCCTGCGGGGAGGGAGCGGGGGAGAGGGGCGGAGGAGGGGAGGCCGATGGGAGGGGTGAAGAGGTGAAGAGGGGGACGGGGGGAGAGAGAGAGGCAGGAGAGGGGGGAGGGAGCGATGGGGGAGAGCGGGGGCAAAGTGACGCGATGGGGAGGGCAGGAGGGGAGGTTAAAGGGGAAGGGCATCGGAGGTGGGGGCGCGAGAAGGGGGACGGCATGGGGAAGGGGAGGGAAGGGGGGACGGGGGGGGAGAGGCCAAGGGTGCGGGCGAGGAGCCAGGCTCGCAGTAGATGAGTGTAGCCCATGCTAGGCGCCAGGAATCGGAAAACAGGATAGCAAAGCCGCAGATTGAAGTCGACGTGCACTCCGCCCCGACCTATGAATCGATAGACTGCCAAAGTGCACCTGCTGGGAGAGCATGTTCGTGTTCTTGGCGTTAGCAGAAGGTGAGGATCCCGATGAGGATCAAGAGGGGTACGAAGACAACGACGACAAGGAGAGGATAAGGATCCGGATGAGGACGGGGACATGGACATGCGTAAAGGCGATGGCGAGGCCGACGGCGAGGCCAGGAAGGAGGAAATGGAGGGAGGGGCGACGAGGGCGAGGGGGGCAGTGATGGGGGCGTCGGGGAGGGGAACCCTCAGATCTGACGTTGCCAAACAATTACAACTTCGCACAACAACAGAAAAACATCACGGGAGCCCCGCACCCTATCTTTCTGCGTCGTTTTTCGAGCCGGATCGAGATGTGAGGGTCCCGGGGCCCGAAGCCAGGCGAAAACGACGGTCGTGAAATAACTGCAACGCCAGGACCTCCGGGAAGGGGGAAGGGGGGAGGAGGCTTTCCGCGCCCAGCAAGTGTTGGCCCTGGGACTTACCAGTAGCTGCCGCCCAGCCCCGACGCGTGCGGGAGGGGCGGCGAGGGGCGCCAGGGAAAAGAGAGGCCGGGAAGGGGCCCCCAGAGGTCGGGACCCCTTCTCTGGGACTGGCTTTTCATCTTGAATCTTCTTAATCTTTTTTGATAATCCCGAGGCCCGGCGCGGGCCCCCAGAGGCCGAAAATACTACAAAACATGTCCGATGTCATCTTGCTGTCACGCGAGGGGGTCTGGGCGGGGCAGGCGCGCCCGCGGGTGTTGGGCCCTGGGTCGTAGCTGCCGCCCCAGCCCGACGCGTGCGAGCGGCCGCTGCCCAGGCCAGAGCCGTGACCGCCGCCCAGGGGCTCCCGGTCCAGGCCGCCGAAGAAACTCCCGTCGCCAAGGTCGCGGCTCAACCAGGTCCGGCGGCTGCGCGCGGCGCGGGGGCGGGGGAGAGGGCGGGGGAGGGCCTGGGAGGGCTAGGCGGGGCGAGAGCGAGGGAGGGGGAGAAGGCGAGGGGAGGGGGGGGGGCGGGAGGAGGGGCCGCCGAGCGGATGATGGCGCGGGGGAAGCAAAGCGGGGGGGCAGGGGAATGGGCAGGGGAGGGGGCGGGGGAGGAGGGGGGATAGGGCCAGGAGGGGGGGGGGGCCACGGGGGAGAGGGAGAAGCCGACAAGCGAAAGGGGGGGCATGGCAAGGCGGAGGAAACGGGAAGGTCTCGGGTTCGCGGAGCCTGATTCAGCCATCCTGCTGTAATTTGCAATGTCGCGGTCGCCGCCAGCAGCCTCGAACGCCCGTTGCATGCAATGCAGCACGCCAGCGGTCCCTGCACGGCGTGCTTTCGCCACACAAAAAATCGCAGAGGAAGAAACAGTTGTATACATCAACCGCTCGAGGTCCGCGCGGATTTCTTGGATCTGCGCTGGACCCACCAGATCCAAAACATCCACGCGGACCTCAAACTGTTGACTTACGCAGGACGAATGATCTTCCTCTTGAGGTGCCAAATGGCGATGATGAGTTGGAAATGAATGACTGAACCCCCTTCCCCCGCAGAATCTTCGCACGTGGGGTCTCCGTGGTCCGCGGATCCGCTTTCTTCCGGTTCCCCGTCCAGATATAATAACGATACCAATAAGACGAATGATAATTGAAACGGGGTATGAATCGGACAGACCGTGAAAAAGAAGCACCGCACACGGATTCCGCAAATCCGAAATCGGATCCGCGCAGAAGAAAATCGGATCCACCGAAGAAAACGACACAACCACAATTGGATCCGCGGGAACTTCACGGGACCCGACGGCGGTTATCTCACGCGCGTCTGCTCAAGATCTCAAGCCGTCATTCCAGGCCCAAGGGGGAACAACTGTCGTCCTGGGGATGGGCGTTTTGGCCTTCGGATTTGTTGCTTATCACATGGCCGACACACCGCATCTCACAGGCAGTCTGTTGGGTCAGGAGACGCAAGGCCGAAATGCATGGGAGTTTTTTGTGTAGCCTTCGGACTTGTTGGTTACCACATAGCCGACACACCACATCTCACAGGCGGTCTGTTGGGCCAGGAGACGCAAGGCCGAAACGCACTGGCGTTTTGGCCTTCGGACGAGTTGATTGCCACACAGCCGACACACCACATCTCACAGGCAGTCTGTTGGGTCAGGGGCGCAGGGCCGAAACGCACTTACGCAGGACGAGAGGTTTTCCTCTGGAAGTGCAATGGCTACGATGAGTTGGAAACTAATGACCGAACCCCTTCCCCCGTAGAATCTTCGCACGGGCGGCTTCCGATGTCCGCGGATCCGATTTGTTCCGGTTCCGCGCGTGAATTGAATAATCAATAATCCAAACGGGGTATAAATCGGATCCGCCGTCAAAAACAACACCGAACACGGATCAAGCAAATCCGACATCGGATCCGCGCAGGCGGAAATCGGATCCACCGAAGAAAACGCCACAACCACAATTGGATCTGCGCGAACTTCACGGGACCCGACGGCGGTTATCCCATGCGCGTCTGCTCAACACTTCAAGCCAACATTCCAGGCCCAAGAGGAAACAACTGTCGTCCTGGGAGTGGGCGTTTTGGCCTTCGGACTTGTTGCTTATCACATGGCCGACACACTGCATCTCACAGGCTGTCTGTTGGGTCGAGGCGCAAGGCCGAAATGCATGGGCGTTTTGGCCTTCGGGCTTGCTGGCTTCCACATAGCCGACACACCACATCTCACAGGCAATCTGTTGGGTCAGGAGACGCAGGGCCGAAACGCTCTGGCGTTTTGGACTTCGGACTTGGTGATTTCCACATAGCCGACACACCGCATCTCACAGGCAGTCTGTTGGGTCAGGAAACGCAGGGCCGAAACGCATGGGCGTCTTGGTCTTCTGACTTGTTGATTGACACATAGCCGACACACCACATCTCATAGGCAGTCTGTTGGGTCCGGAGACGCAGAGCCGAAACGCACTTACGCAGGACGAAAGATGTTCCTCTTGAGGTGCAAGTGGCGATGATGAGTTGGAAACTGCTGACCGAACCCCCTTCCCCCGTAAAATCTTCACACGGGCGGCTTCCGGGGGGGTCCGCGGATCCGATTTCTGCTGGCTTCCCGTTTAAGTTGAAACACTGAAACAAGGTATAAATCGGAGGCACCGTCAACATTAAGACCGAACACGGATCCAGCAAATCCGAGATCGGATCCGCGCGGACGGAAATCGGATTCACAGAAGAAAATGCCACAGCCACAAATGGATCCGAGAGAACTTCACGAGATCCGACGGCGGTTATCTCACGCGCGTCTGCTCAAGACTTCCAGCCGTCGCTCCCGGCCCAAAACGAAACAACTTTCGTCCAGGGGATGGGCGTTTTGGCCTTCGTACTTGTTGGTTACCACATAGCCGTCACACCACATTTCACAGGCATTATGTTGGGTCAGGAGACGCAGGGCCGAAACGCACTGGCGCTTTGGTTTTCAGACTTGTTGATTGCCACATGGCCGACACATCACATTTCACAGGCAGTCTGTTCGGTCAAGGTACGCGAGGCCGAAACACATGGGCGGTTTGGCCTTCGGACTTGTTGGTGACCGCATAGCCGACACACCACATCTCACAGGCCTCCTGCTGGGTCAGGAGACGCAGGGCCGAAACGCACATACGCAAGACGAGAGATCTCCCTCTTGAGGTGCAAATGGCGATGATGAATTGGAAGTGAATGACCGTTACCCCTGCCCCCGTAAAGGGTAAAAGTCGGATCCACCGTCAAAAATAAGACCGTACACGGATCCAACAAATTTGAAATCATATCCGCGCGGACGGAAATCGGATCCACCGAAGATAACGCCACAGCCGCAATTGGATCCGCCCGAACTTCACGGGACCCGACGGCGGCTATCTCGCGCGCGTCTGCTCAAGACTTCAAGCCGTCGTTCACGGCCCAAGAGGAAAAACTTTCGTCCTGAGGATGGGTGTTTTGGCCTTCGGACTTGTTGATTGCCACATCGCCGACACATCACAACTCACAGGTACTCTTTTGGGTCAGGAGACGCAGGGCCGGAATACATGAGGTTTTGGCCTTCCGAGTTGTTGGTTGCCACATAGCCGACACACCACACACCACAGGCATTCTGTTGGGTCATGCGACCCAGGGCCGAAACGCACTTACGCAAGATGAAAGACTTTCCTCTTGAGGTGCAAGTGGCGATGATGAATTGGAAGATGCTGACCGAACCCCCTTCCCCCGTAGAATCTTCACACGGGCGGCTTCCGGGGTCCGCGGATCCGATGTATTCCGGCTTCCCAAATTAATCTTGTAATATAACTTTACACTGTGTAGAAGTCGGATCCGCCGTTTAAGCAAACAACCAACATGGATTCAACAAATCCGAAATCGGATCCGCGCGGACGGAACTCGGATCCACCGAAGAAAACGCCACAACCACAATTGGATCTGCGCGAACATCACGGGATCCTACGGCGGTTATCTCACGCGCGTCTGCTCAAGACTTCAAGCCGTCATTCCAGACCCACGAGGAAACAACTGTCGTCCTGGGAGTGGGCGTTTTGGCCTTCGGACACACCGCATCTCACAGGCAGTCTGTTTTGGGTCAGGAGACACACGGCCGAAATGCATGGACGTTTTGGCCTTCGGACTTGTCGATTGCCACACAACCGACACATCACATCTCACAGGCTGTCTGTTGGGTCAGGAGACGCAGGGCCGAAATGCATGGGCGTTTGGGCCTTCAGACTTGGTTACCACATAGCCGACACACCTCATCTCACAGGCATTCTGTTGGGTCAGGGGACGCAGGGCCGAAACGCACTGGCGTTTTGACCTTCGGACGTGCTGATTGCCACATAGCCGACACACCATCTCACAGGCCGTCTGTTGGATCAGGAGACGCAGGGCTGAAACGCATGGGCGTTTTGGCCTTCGGACTTGTTGGTGACCGCATAGCCGACACACGACGTCTCACAGGATGTCTGTTGGGTTAGGAGACGCAGGGCCGAAACGCACTTACGCAGGACGAAAGACTTTCCTCTTCAAGTGTGAATGGCGATGATGCGTTGGAAATGAATGACCGAACCCCCTTCCCCCGTAGAATCTTCACACGGGCGGGTTTCGGGGTCCGCGGATCTGATGCATTCCGGTTCCCCGTTTTCATTTAATATTGAAAATGATATTAAAACGGGGTATTCATCGGATCAGACGTCAACAATAAGACCGGACACGGATCCAGCAAATCCGAAATCGGATCCGCGCGGACGGAAATCGGATCCACCGAAGAAAACGCCACAGCCACAATTGGATCTGCGCGAACATCACGGGATCCGACGGCGGTTATCTCGCGCGCGTCCGCTCCAGACTTCAAGCCGTCGCTCCAGGCCCAAGAGGAAACAACTGTCGTCCTGGGGCTGGGCGTTTTGGCCTTCGGACTTGTTGATTGCCACATTGCCGACACATCTCATCTCACGGGCAGTCTGTTGGGTCAGGAGACGCACGGCCGAAATGCATGGACGTTTTGGCCATCGGACTTGTTGATTGCCACGTTGCCGACACATCACATCTCACAGGCAGTCTGTTGGGTCAATGGACGCAAGGCCAAAACACATGGGCGGTTTGGCCTTCGGACTTGTTGGTGACCGCATAGCCGACACACCACGTCTCACAGGCTGTCTGTTGGGTCAGGAGGCGCAGGGCCGAAACGCACTTACGCAAGACACAAAATGTTCCTCTTCAGGTGTGAATGGCGATGATGCGTTGGAAATTAATGACCGAACCCCCTTCCTCCGTAGAATCTTCACACGGGCGGGTTTCGGGGTCCGCGGATGGGATTTCTTTCCGCTCCCCGTTGAAATTATCTAATTGCTCCGACGGAAGGACCCCGCATGAGAATCCTCTGGGCGAATCTGGAAAAAGCCCTCACC